TGCGAGGATGTTGTCGGGCATCCATGATGCCGAGGCCAGTCCGAAGGCGACCCTGAGCTGGGCGCGCAGAGCGCGCTCTTGCACCACATCCGGGGCAGTGTAGTGGGCCGCACATGGAACCAGGGAGACGAGATAGGAGTTCCAGGCAGCAGCGGTTCTGGCAGGGGACAGACCAGCCAGGTGGAGGGCCACGGCGCGGTCTCTCATCTTGGGGATAGGCCTCCCCCACGTTCCCTTGATGAGGGCGTCGGATTGCGCCTTGGTGAGTTGACCCGCAGGCGGGGCTTGCGGAAACCACTACCGCTCCGAGGTAGGGCCACTGGGTCGCGGACCGAGGATCCACCGAAGGGGGTGCAGTCCATGAGCGCGCGCCACCATTCGCGCTGGCAGGCGGGAACCAGGGAGGCCTTGAAAGTGCAATTGCAGGGGCGCCTCAGTGGCCGGCATGCATCGAAGACCTGTTGTTCAATGGCCCCATTGAGTAGCGCCAGGATGAGCTCGCTGGGAAGCCCAATGACCATAACGTCTCCCCCGTCGTTTCCGAAAACAACCGGTGCATCGGCGAGCGCCGCTCTAAGCGCGGTTGGGTCCGCAGCGCGGATGCCCCAGCGCCGGTGCGCTTCTACCAAGAGGCCAGCTGCGCGTGCCGCCCAAGGGAGTGCAATGGCTGCGCGTAGCGCCTGCTTTGTAGAGCTGAACAACGCAGCCAGGTCGTCCACATATGCGGGGTCGTCGTCGGCTATTATTTCGGCCAGGGCAGATATGAGAGGGCCATGCCCAATGCACCACAGGAGCCGGGAGGCGGTGCCGCCAATTCCGATGGATCGGAGGAGGCGCCGCGCGGGCCCCTTGCACTTTCCTTTACAAGTCTGTACTCTCCGCTCTCCAATGAGAGAGTCCAGGGCGTGGAGTAGCCACGCTGGCAGCTTCCACCTCTTGAGCAACTCCCCCATCCACTGCAGTGAGATCCTCTCGAAGGCCTCATTTTGGTCACAAAAGATCACCGCGGTGCCGGGAACATCTCCCGCGCGCGCGGCCGACCTGTCGATGTACTGCTCCACCGCGGCTGCGCGTCTGCCGAGTAGAACCTGCCAGGCAGGCCCTGGTCCTTCAACGGGCCGCGTCTCCCTTCCTAGGTGTGCGGTGACTCTCGCGATCGCGAGAGTCATCGCGCGGACCCAACATCGATGTTGGGTCCGCGCTGTCCGCCTTGCTTGGCGGCCTGGTTGGGGCTGAGGAGGGCCCCGCAGCGGGGCCGATGAGGTCTGCGAGGGTGGCGCCGTGAAGCCTCCTGAGGCACGAGGGCAGCTGCAGTGGTCTCGTCGCTGGGAACTTCGGCCGCCGCCTGTTTCCCAATCCACGCTAGTTGGTCAGTGGATGGGCCCACGACAGCTTCGATGAGAGCGAGGTTCAGCTCTGCAGCGTAACAGGCCTGAGCCAGCAGGCAGGCGACGAACCTGGCTCCCGGGTGGTAGGCCTCGCATGGTCCGCCATCGATGCCAGGGGCGCTACCGCTGGAAGCGAGTACCAGGGAGGCAATCCTGCCCCAGCGGGGTTGGGGCCTGTCTTGGATGTTGATGCCAGGGTGGCGCTGGAAGTAGCGGTCGAGCAGGCGAGACGCCGCCCCTGGGAGGGAGGGCGCTGTGTGCCAGATCTCGCTACGGCTTCCCCATAGGACTTGGCCAACCTCTTCTGGTCGCTCTCGCCAGCAAACAGCTGCGCCCCGCACTCCAGGGACGGAGTGTTTATATATATATATATATATATATATATATATATTCCTCTGCCTGTCCTGCAGTGTGTCGCAAGGGGGGCCCGCTCGGCAAGGGGCCCTCTTGGGGCTGGCGTCAGCCTGGAGGCTCTTCGCCGCGCCGCCTCTGCGCCCCATCTCCGAGGCCACCCGGCAGCTTCAGATGGAGTCAAATCCTGCCCGTCCCACCCGTAATCGCGCAGCCATGCTGCGAGGGTACCAACGGGTCGAGTGGGTCCATTTCTCCTGCTGGCTGTCGCCAAGAGGAGCCCAGGGGAGCTGTGCGTTTTGTTCCTTTCTCCATTTCCTCCACCAATCTTGGAGCACAGCGGAGAGCGCGTGCCTGCCGAAACGCATCAGGGCTGGAATCATTGGTGGCAGGACGTCATCAGTGTTGCCGTTGTGCTCTGGTTGGGTGGGCGTCGGTCGCGCGGCCTCTACCTCGATCTCGCCGCCATCGCTATCAGTGTGCATGTCCGGGAAACCGCCTGGCGTAGCAGGTCTGACCCAGTCGACTGGCTGTAGGAGCCCTGTCAGGTCGACGCGAGGGACGCCGAAGATGAGCTCCAGATATGAGGAAACCTGTCTGAGGTCCGCGTGCGCGGCGGTGGGGGGGTTCTTGAGGTCGCCAGCCTTCATGGCGCAGTGACTGCGCGCCCTGCGCGCTCCGTCGGGCTGTAAGTAGAGAGTGGCGCGGTCAGACAGTGAGGGCTTCCAAGCCTTGCGCACTGTGTAGGCGTAGAGCTGCTGTACTGGGCAGGCCATCGCGTCAATTTGGGACTCGTTGTCCTTGTCCACTCTGGTGGGGCCGTCCGTGTGCACCACCACGGTGCATGTAGCACTGAGAACGTCTCGTAAAGCTGTCACGGTCTCTACTTCTCCATCTCGCGGCTCGTCGAGCTGTAGGTTGACGTCTCCACCCAAATAAGTGTCGAGGTTTTCCCAACGCTCGACGGATTTCCGCGATCGTATCCTCCTTCCGTGTCGGGGGAAGGTAGATGGATGCAACGCGGAATTCGTAGTCGCCATGCTGCGCTGTGGCTGAGACTGCACAGCCGGGGACTATGTCTTCTTGGTCGAGGAAGGCGATTCCGTGCGGGAGCAGAATGCTGACTCCACCGGCCAATCTTCCAGCTGGTCCATGGTAGCCAAGGGAGGAGACGTGCGTGCGGGCGGGGAACATCGTTTTCCATACCTCTGCGTCGTGCTCGGACCAGTGCGTCTCTTGTATCAGGCCTATATGGTTTAGGGTCATTTGTGTCAGTACCGCGTGCTTGATTTGGTTATTGGCGGATGTGGTGCTCCGAAGGTATCTGACGCTCCAGCAGGCGAGCTTCGGCAGGTTGCCAGCTGGGGCCGCCTCTTGGGCGCGTGTGAGGTCGTCAACGGTAGGGTCTCCGCAGAGGGTCTGCCAGGTTGGTTGGTTCCATGGACCGCTACGCAGCGCGTTCCATAGGCCGCGAGGGCCACGAAACCTAAACCGCGCGCTCACTTCCAGGGTGGTGTTGAGAGAGCGGCAAGCCAGTTGCCAGGCTAGAGCGCGGGGCCCCGGCACCAGTTGGTGCCTGGGGGGGGGGGGGGCAGCGCTTGATGCAGCGTTCTAGGGCCCTCGTCAGAGTCTAGGGGGCCGGCGGGCCAGGGTGGAGGCCATCTACCTCCTGCAGCCGGCTCGCGACGTCGTCCGGGAAGGGCTGCCCCCGCAGGTGGGCCCATGGGCACTGCATCCCAGCGAAGGTCCTCGCCGACGCCCAGGCCTGGACTACTTGGTCCCTGGATGGGGCCGGCGCCCCGATTTCCTGTCCGTAGTTCCCTCTGCTCCAGGTGCGCAGGGCAGCGACGATTCTTCGCTGTAGGCATCACGGGTCGAAATTGATACCCGCCGCATCGTGCAGCTGCCTGCCGTGGATGCCTAGAGAGCGACAGTAGCTGGCAAGCCCAACTGCTCTCGCTCTTTCCTCGGCGGTGGGTGGTCTCAGTCCGCGCGCTCTCCCCTCGTCGATTAGCCACCTCCCCCAGGCTTTGACCTTTGTCTCTGCAGCTGGGCTTTCCCTTTCCCTCCCCGCCATCACCTGCGTCAGTCCTTCAAGACAGCCAGGGAAGCGGTCATCGGCCCTGCTTTCTGTCAGTATTTTGCGAACCCCGTTCTTGAGCTCGGCAGAGTTCCTGAGGAACCATATGTGCCTACTGTCTCCGTCATGCAGGAGGCAGAGTAGATGAGTCTGATAGCTGCTTGGGAAGATCGTGTGGGCCGCGAAAACCGGCGGCGAGCATAACCTAACCATAAGATACCGGAGAAAAAACCCAATCAGGGCTATAGGGCTAGGGCGCTATAGGGCTATAGGGCTATTGAGCTATGGGGCTATAGAGCTATAGGGCTATAGAGTTGTAGGGCTCTATAGGGCTACTTGAATCCCCGCCCCCTTTCCTAAGCGTTTGAGCTGAGTAGATCTGTCTTAGAAGATGGTGATACTAGGTTATAAAGTAGATGTAAGGTAGTGAAGCTGAATTGATCCATGCGATGTGGATCAAGCGTGAGCCAAATGTTAAGACTGTTTATGTATTCGTGTATGATGCATGGGCTTCTTCGCAAAGGTTTCTGCGATCATGGGGATCTTGGTTCTGGTGTTTCCGACATGCGATCCGATATCTGGTGAAAGCAAGTTCAAAACACGATGCCCCAATGCGGGGTGTGCGGATTTCATACGATTTCTGACGGATTTCAATATCATTTTGTTTGGATGTTGATAAAACCCGTTGGTGTGAGAACTGAATGCGTTGAGATGTTGAGGTTATCTTGATGTTCGGCGGGTCTCGTTTTCGAGGGCCTCGATTGGCCGCTCGCAGTCAGAGGCTTTCTGGCTCAAGCATGACACGCCGTCAGATGTCTGGCTTTCTGGCTTTTGCACTGTATCTCTACATCAGGATGCCGTTAGATGCCAAACTTCAGGCCGATCTTGATCGGCTCGCCCCCGAGATCAACAAGCGCATCGGCGAGCTCATGGGGGCCAGCGACGTCCCGAAAAAACAAAAGAGGCATGCCCCAGACGAAAGCATAATCCCAACACGTTTCCTGATCCTGATCCTCCTCACCCTCGTCCTCCCTCTCCTCCTCTTCTTCCTTTCGTCGACTACGGCGCCCTCCTCCGCCTCCTCTGCAGAGGAGGAGGAGGCGGAGGAGGAGGAGGAGGAGAAGACGGATGAGGAGGAGGAGGAGGAGAACGGGCAGGGGGTGTTTTGGGTTCGCTGTCAGGGCAGAGTGCGACAGAATCCTGGAGTCCTTGGAGCAAGCGTCCCTGCTCTACACGTCCTGTGTGCAGGAGAACACGGCCGCGCCCCACCCGCACAATCGGTACGGCCAGGGGCTGGACCCTCACGATCTTCACAAACTACTCGCCTCCATATGTGATGATGGTTGGAGCTTCGGCGAGTGCAAGGGCATCGCATTCCAGGCTCAGACCGATGCCACGTTGCTCGAGAAGCAGTTCTCGTACCAGGAGCGGCTCCACAAGCTGAGCGGGGGCATGGTTGCGCGGAAGATGAGGCGAGCAACCCGAAGTTGCACCAAACCCTTCCCCTCCGCGTGCGAGCATGCAGCGCCGCGCGAGCCATGCAGGCCGCGCGGCGTGGTCATGGGCGCGCTGGGAGAGGATTGTGGGGGTGGCGCAGCGGATGAGGCACAACATGCAGTTCCTGACTTGCGGCGGGTCGCACACGATTGGGTTGTTGTCCGCGGTGAACGAGAAGGTGAGGTGCCACCCGACTTTGACGAAGCACCTTGCCGACGATGACGGCTTTATCTCTAAGGAGATGGTGCTTGCCGTATGCCCGTCGCTCAGAGGCTCGTTGCAGCACGGCTTCAATATGCAGATCATCCGCGCCGAGGTGGAGCTGGCGTGCCCGCAGCTGCCCTGGTTCATCCAGGACGCGATGAACAAATCGCACAAGAACAACCGCTCATCCCCATCTTAATTCGCACCCTCTTATTGCCGTTCCCCCTTTCTCGTCATTTTCCCCCTCCTCCTCCTCCTCCTCCTCCACATCCTCCTCCTCCTCCTCCTCCTCCCTCTCCTCGTCAGGAGGTGACGGTCATCCAGACCATGCTTCAGATAGTCAACGTGGCGCGGGCCAGGATCCAGGAAGGCGGCGATCCGCGGTGGGACCTGATCGCTATAGATATCGGGATCGACCGCCCGTCCGTGAAGGAGTACATAAGCGACGTGGCAGTGTTCGTGAAGAATTGGTCTGGTGGTCAGGGCGGGCAGTATTTGAATGACCTGATGAACTTTGCATTGAGCTTGGACAAGTGGCGCGAGGTCGCGCCGATTACGTGGAAGCTCTTGGCAGAAGTTAGGCTCCTGGAGGCGCCCGCCTACGTGTGCGCCTGCCTGAAGGCGACGTTGGTCGCGCCCGAGGCGTTCATGAAGGATGGCGCCGCTAAACTCATCAACGGCGCGGACACCGCTGACATCGCAGGGAAGAAGCGACAATTGTGCATTGAGGCCAACGCCATGTTCGCCACGGCCGACGCCTTCATGGGGAAGTTGGAAAAGTTGGGATTGCAGCATGCCGCCAGAGTAGAACTCGCAGGGAACATGCAAGTGAGAGCGGTGATGACAATCCACGCCAAGAAGGCCAGAGTGCGCAGACACTTCGAGAGCCTCGACGCGATCAAGCAGCAGTTTTTGTTAGACCTCTACAAAGTGAACAACGCGTTCAAGGACGTCGAGCCCCCGTGGAAGCTCGATGATGGCACGAACCCCAACGCACGGGCGACAAGCTCGTCGGCTGTTGTGGGTTACGGGTTCCGCACGTTCGACGCCGTGGGCATCACCCAGCAATACCTCGAGTGCGAGGGCTTCACGTTGGAGACGGAGGTCCAGCGCAAGGCGTCGACGGAGGCCGCGAAGTTCAAGATCATCAAGTTCGAGGCGGGCCTCGCGACCTTGGAGGCCGTCAAGGGCGACGACGACGACGAGTACGAGGAGGGCCACAGCGAGAAGGCTGACGAGGGCGAGGCGCCGAAGCAGGAGAGCGTGATCGTGCCCTTCGGCGAGCTGGCCGACGCCTACCAGGCGCCGCGGTGCGCCAAACTTCAGACCTTTCGGCCTTGCGTTCTCGGGCCTTCGCGGCCCCCGACCCGTCAGGGCCCTGCAGGGCCCCGTGAGGATTGCACCCAGGGGTGGGCCCAAGGCCGCCCGTGGGACAGAGCCGAGGCTGCGATTGCCCGAGGGCGGATGGCGACTAGTAGGGTGAGGTGCGGGGGTGGGGAGAGGTGGATGAGGAGATGCCCGAAGCCAACTCGAGGATAGGGTGAGGGGTGAGAATGACGAGGGAGGAGGAGGAGGAGGAGGAGGAGGAGGATGAGGAGGAGGAGGAGGAGGAAGAGGAGGAGGAGGAGGAGGAAGAGGAGGCGGAGGAGGAGGAGGGGGAGGGAGCATGCGGGAGGAAGAGGAGGAGGAGGAGGAGGAGGAGGAGGAGGAGGAGGAGGAGGGGAGGAGGAGGAGGAGGAGGGAGGAGGAGGAGGAAGAGGGGGAGGGATGAGGAGAGAGAGAGGAGGAGGAGAAGGAGAGGGGGGAGGAGGGACATGGGCCCGCCCGAGGTCGTGGTGAAGACCCCCACGATCGCCTACAGTTTCGTAGGCAAGACCGCCGCGGACATGCGCCCCGCCCCCCTTCGCATCTCCCTCCCTGCCTCTCTATTTCTCTCCCTGTATCCATCCATATCTCTCTCCTTCGCTCGCTCTCGCTCTCTCTCTCTCTCTCTCTCTCTCTCTCTCTATGCATATACCAGAGTGAGGGGGGCGAACGGTCATTCACTGTCCCTGGGTGCGTGGCTGAAGTGGGGGTCCGCGGCGCGGATTGTTGGTGTTGTTTGTTTGTCGGCGTTCCCACACCCCAGACCGACCCAGGAGGAGGAGAAGGAGAAGGAGGAGGGGGAAGAGGAGGCGGAGGAGGAGGAGGAGGAGGAGGAGGAGGAGGAGGGATGAGGGATGAGGAGGAAGAGGAGGAGGAGGAGGGACGAGGAGGGACGAGGAGGAGGAGGAGGACAAGGAGGATGAGGATGAGGAGGAGGAGCACTGAGGGCTCATAGGGCTCTATGGGCTCTATAGGGCTCATAGGGCTCATAGGTCTCATAGGGCTCATAGGGCTCACAGGGCTCATATGGCTTATAGAGCTCATAGGGCTCATAGGGCTCACAGGGCTCATAGGGCTTATATAATATGAGCCCTGAGTCCTGTGAGCCATGTGAGTCCTGTGCGCCCTATGAGACCTATGAGCCCTATGAGCCGTATGAGCCTTATGAGCCCTATGAGCCCTATGAACCATATGATCCCTTTGAGCCACGAGTCCTATGAGCCCTATGAGCCCTATGAGCCCTATGAAGCCCTATGCACCATATGAGCCCTATGAGCCACATGAGCCCTATGAGCCATATGAGCCCTATGAGCCCTATGAGCCCTATGAACCCTATGAGCCCTATGAGCCATATGAGCCCTATGAGCCCTATGAGCCATATGAGCCATATGAGCACTATGAGCCCTGTGCGCCCTGTGCGCCCTATGGGCCCTATGAGCCATATGAGTTCTATGAGCCCTCTGAGCCCTATGAGCCATATGAGCTCTATGAGCTCTTTGAGCCATATGAACCCCACGAGTCTTATGATCATTATGAGCCCTAGGAGCCCTATGAGCCCTATATGCCCTATGAGCCCTATGAGCCCTATGAGCCCTATGCGCCCTATGAGGCCCTATGAGCCCTATGTGCCCTATGGGCCCTATTAACCATATGAGCCATATGAGCCATATGAGCCATATGAGCCCTGTGAGCCCTATGAGCCCTATGAGCCCTATGAGCTCATAGGGCTAGGGCTTCATAGGGCTCATAGGGCTCATATAGGGCTCATCTAGGGCTCATAGGGCTCATAGGGCTCATCATAGAGCGCATAGGGCTCAAAAGCCATGGACCAAGTAGGCCCTATAGCAACAGCCATGGACCAAGTCCCCATGGCAAACACATTGGACCAAACTATAGGCCTAAGCAACGGGATTGGGCCAAAAACCAACGTGTGAGGCCAATTATATAAAGCCGGTCAGTACGTCCTAGGAACAGCCATGGACAATTGACCGAGTAGGCCCTAGCAGCAGCAACGGCCCAAGTAGGCACCACAGCAAAAGCACGGGACCACTTATAAACCCTAACAAAATCATTTGGCCAAGTACACCCATTTGACCAAGTAGGCCCTAAAGGCATTGGACCAAGTGCAACCGAGCAACAGCCATTGACCAAGCATGCCATAGCACAGCCATAGCAAACGCCATGGATATAGCCCTATAGCAAACGCCATGGACCAATTAAGCCCTAGCAAATCATGGGGCCAAGTAGACCTTAGCAAAATAAGCACGGGGCCAAGTAGAAGCATTGGACCAAGTAGACTAAAGCATTGGGCCGAGTAGACCCTGGCAAAACTATTGGACTACACAGACCCTAGCAAAAGCAATAGACCAGGGCACATCCTCCTCCTCCTCATCATCCTGCTCCTCCTCCTCCTCCCTCCTCCTCCTCCTCCTTCCTCCTCCTCTTCCTCCTCCTCCTCCTCCTCCTCCTCCTCCTCCTCCTCCTCCTCCCTCCTCACCCTCCTCCTCCTCCGCCGCGCCCAGGAGGACGCGGACGTCCTCTTGTTGGATGCCGTCGCCGTCGCGAGGCTGGGCGTGAAGGCGGCTTTCTTTCGGACCCACCGCGATGATGATGTGGAGGTTCGCCATAGCATGTCAGCGGGTAAGGCTTGCATTGATGGTGTGTACGCTCTTAAGAAGTTTGATAAGGGTGAACTCAAGTTCGCGCCATTGTCTCCACTCCTGAGCAGCGGGACGAAAATCCCAGCGGCTGCGTGGGAAGTTCCAGTCTCGCACATCTCGAAATCAGATGACAAAGTGTTTGTGGTCCAGAGGCTTGTGTTGCCTGAGCAGGCATCGGCTGTCAAGAATGAGTTCATGGTCCCGTTTTGGGCAATTCAGGCTGCCAAGGACAGCAGCGATGCCAACGTTGTGGTCGGTACGCAGCCAGTTGAAGTCCACGCATGGTCCAACTCGGGCACGGCTGACCCTTGCGCTCCCCCTGAGAAGTACACGCTCAGCGTGCCTGTGTACGTGAACAATAAGGTGATCAATCACTGAAGGGTCTTAGATCCTACGGCCGTCAACGGAGTTCATGCAGTCCCACCCGCAAAAGAGGCACCTCGTCACGCCGCCCGCCGAAGCCAAGACACCAAAAGCTGAGCCGAAGGGCGCAGGCAACAAGGGCGGAGGCAAGGGTCCCAAGGGCGGAGGCAAGGGTCGCAAGTAAGTGAGGCTGCGTTAGCTCGCACTCCTAACCCTCCTCCTTTCATCCTTTTTCTCATTGGGCCCTCGGGCGCTCAAGGTTCTCCTTCGAGCACGCGGGTTCTGCTCGCAGCTTTGCAATATCGTGTGGTGTTTTCAATGCGGCATGACTCTGGCGCGGGTTTCCGCGTGATTGCCAGTTCAGGACATTATAAGACCTCCAGCGCCACCCTTTCGGCAAAATCCCAACCGTTGAGGGGGGGGATGATGCCATCGTCCTCACACCTCCTCCTCCTTCCCCTCCGTCCCTTCCTCATCGTCCTCCGACACCTGCCCCCTCCTTCTTCCTCATCCCGTGGCTTTTCGAACATGCCGCTCATGCGATTGCTACCCGTCGTCCTCCTCCGCGACCTACCCCCATCTGCCCTCTTCCACCTGCATCCTCGTGCTGCCGCTGACTCACCCTTCCCCATCCTGCCTGGCACATCGTAGCAACGCGCGTTCTCGGGGGCCTTCGGAGCCCCCCACCCCCTTAGCTCAGCCCTTGCAGGACGATCTATGTATAGGTGCCCCGCGGGGCCCCAGGCCCACATGCGTCGAACCC